CTGTGTGTTTATCTTCAGGCCTTTAAGACCCCAGATGCTATATCTTTTGATAGCTGGGCACCATGAGCTTTCTTCACCACATTTGCTTGTACACCCATTGTCTTCAGCGATTGTGCCAGGAAGGTGAGCATCTCAGATTGCTGAATTGTTAGAACAAAGTGTTTTTGTGTTGAGGGAATACTTGAGTAGGAGCCCGCTGTTCATCTGTTTCCTTAATACTAAACCTGTAAATATATGTACATAACAACAATATCTACATGGAAGAAGCACACCAGCCTGTGAGATCATGAGGCATTGTAGGGATCAGGTATCAGGCATCAAAGACCAAAAAATTATATAGCATTGTGAATGAAGGGGAGAGCAGAGTGGGGATCCAGGGCCCATCGGTGGGCAATTGGACATCCCCTTGCAGAAGGGCTGCGGGGAGGAGACAAGCCAGTCAGGGTGCAGTGTAGCAATGATGAAACATACAATTTTCCTCTAGTTCTTGAATGCTTCCTCCCCACCACTATTATGATCCCAATTCTACCTTATAAATCCAGCTGGACCGGAGGATGTACACTGGTACAGATAGGAACTGGAAACATAGCGAATTCAGGACAGATGAGCCCTACAGGACCAGCGGTTAGAGTGGTGATACTGGGAGGGTGGAAGAAAGGTGAGGGAGAAAGGGGGAACAGATTACAAGGATCTACATATAACCTCCTCCCTGGGGGACAGATAGCAGAGAAGTGGGTGAAGGGAGACATCAGACGGTGTAAGGTATGACAAAATAATAATAATTTAAATTATCAAGGGTTCATGGGGGAGGGGAGAGCTATGAGGGAGGGAGAAAATGAGGAGCTGATACCAAGGTCTCAAGTAGAAAGCAAATGTTTTGAGAATGACGAGGGCAACAAATGTACAAATGTGCTTGACACAATGGATGGATGGATTGTGATAAGAGTTGTACAAGCCCCCAATAAAATGATTTTTAACAAAGTTAAACAAGGCTAAGCCTAAATATATTTAGAAAGTTTTTGCATACAAATTTTATATGTGTGGACAAATATTTTCCCCAGATAAGTGCAAATTTCCTAGTTTTAAAGATAGGACAATAATACTGTTAATTGTTCCTATTTCTGCTGTGGCCTGCTGTAAGTGTTGAGTTCTGTGTTTTGGGAAGCCCCAAGCAATTACAGTGTGTCTTCGGGGCAGGACTGTGAAGAACTTCACACATAACAGAAACTCAGTAAATGATACAGTATCATTATTATTAATCTTTAGGAGGTTAGGGTTGGCTTTTTTCACAGTTGTCTTTCTAGGGCACAGGGATATATTTTGTTGACTGACTGATGTATTTTATGAAATCTTCAGTTGCCAGAAAATATTTTGATTCAATTCTTAACTGCTACCTAAAAAGAGATCCTTAGAAGATATATTTGTTAAACTCCTCTTTTGAAGTCAGAATGAGATTCTTAAACGCTCTTTTATACTAGTTTATTTCTGAAAAATCAGACCTTTAAATTGGTACAGAAAAAAATGTTATAAGGGAATTTATTCCTTGACTCATTCACCAGACATTTATTGAGCATCTATTAAATTCAAGACGCAAAATAAATGGCCACCACAAAGCCCCAGCATTAAATGTATAACCAAACAAATGGGTAATTGAAAATTGAAGTAAGTACTATGGAAGGAAAAGAAGGGAGGTGATGAAAGAGTTAATTAGTGGGAGAGAAGGTCAAAGAAGCCCAAAGGATGAGAACTTTTATGAGCAAATAATAGGAAGGAATAGTTGTGATATTTAAGAAACAGCAGGTCGGTGATGGTAACAGTAGAAATATATATCCAAGCTGAGGTCAGCCAAGTATCCAAGACTTAAGGAGCCTCTGTAGTCTGTCTCAGGTTTATGGATGTGTTTTATGCAGGGAATTCACATGCTACTGCCTATTGTGGTTGAAGCCCTAGAGCAGGGTTGGGGAGAAATAATTCATGACAGCTAACATCCCATGCCTCACCAAAGAAAAACAGTGCCAGCTATCACACAAGGGATGAGTTAATGAAATGATTGACTGGTATGGCATGCCAATGATAGTCTAAATATCCAAATGGCCCTTGGCAGAAAACACTCTTCCATCTCTGGGCTGGAGGCCCAAGAAACAAACCAAGGGGTCTTATTAAGAAGGAACTCTAGTGGTAAAAGCGAGAGGAGATGAGGCTGGGCTTTTGATGCTGGTGTCGTGGTGATGAAAACAAGACTCCACTGAGCTACTCAGAGAACGGAATATACCGGACTATGTGATGGTTTTGGCGATCGAAAGTGAAGGGAATGGAGGCATTAAAGATTTTATTGGTGGGGGTGTTATTGACTAAAGCAACACTACAGATGATCATGCCACCTCCACTGTTAGACTTGGCATATTTTTGTTGCCATTGTCATCTTGGTTGTTTTATTTGCATTTTTGTTTATTTCTTTAGCATTGTTTTGGTGAGGTAGCAAAAGAGAGGAAAGCATTATCAAGGTGTCAGTTTGAGGATGCTAAATCCAGGTCCTGGACTGTCTAAGTTTTCAATAAATGACATCTATGTAAGTGAGCCACCTCTTAAGCTGTTCTTCCCTTAGCTGTATTAAGTTACTTTAAGTTATATTAAAGGTCATTGTCTTAAAACGACCTCTTCTATTCTGCTTTAACCCTCGCTGTTAGGCTGACATCATATGACACTCACATTCAAGACAGTTCATAGGAATGTTGGGAAGAATGCATGAGATCACGTGTTTGAACCGGACTCATATAGTAAAGGAGCCCTGGTGGTCTGTCAGAAGTGTTGTCTTCCTACCTACAAAGGCTGGCAGCCACTCTGTAGAAGAAAGTTGAGGGGTTTGCTCCTGGAAAGATTTACAGCCTCAGAAACTCTAGATGGGGCCACTAGGAGTCAGAATCGCCTCTAAAGCAGTGGGCTTGGTTAACACAGGGCTCAAAGTACGGAGTCAATAAGCATTCGCTTGCCTTCCTCTTTTCGTGGCCATCACCATGGTCCTGGTGGCCAACTCTCATTGAATGATTCCCCACACCTACCCTTTCATGCATGAAGTCTTATTCCCAGGCCTGTTTTACCCACGAGGGGACTGAGGTTCGGGAAAATGAAATACCTGGTCCAAGATGACAGAGTTCAATGCAGAGGAGCCAGAGTTCAAACTTGGTCCCGAAGTTTGTGATCAAACTTGACATCACGAAGATGTCATATCCTACAATCCCCACGTCTCACACCAAGAGCAACGGCGTTTTCAATGCTTACAAAAACCCACCCACCAACAATACAGTAAGGTGCAGGGCCAAAGTACAATCAATCGCTATGTAGTCACACAGAACACAAAAATTGTATTTTAAGAGCAGTGCTATCAACGAACTTGCCATAAACTTCTACTGCTTCCATTAATACAAGGGAACTTCTCCTGCTTCCTATCCGTGCAATGTATTCCAAGTCAACGTTTTATTCTCAGTACAGACTTTTATGGCTTTAATCTACTTAAATGCATTCTCCTCAAGCATTCCTCATTTAACTTTGATAATACTGCCTCATTCTTGCTTCCCAGGGAGATGGTAAACATGATTGCACCCTTGCAGAAGTGGCCCTAAAGTTCACATTCACAAATATTCACCCTTTTATAGTATAAGCAAACACACTAGGAGTATGCTCTAAATTTCCCTTCTCTTGCTAGTTCAGCGAGTGTGCTGCTGAAGGCAAGCAAACTTAACATTGAGCATTTAGGGACATGTCAATGCCCTGTATCTGACACACAAATATATGGGAGGACAGGGTGCTCTTTAAACGCTCCTCCTACGATCGACGTCTATTCCCTATAATAACAACTTTACTGCCTGATATCCCCTAGACTCAGGTAAGAGGGAGTATCCCCATGCCTTCCACCCACAGAAGAGAAAAGATTTGGAGAGGTTCTGTGACCGACCCAAGACACTGTGACTCTTCCCTCGTAGTATCTCCCCTGAAAGCCAGGATTCCTGATTCCCCACAAAATGTATTCCACCTTGGGGGCGATCATCAACTATTAACAATGACACTTTCCTTTGGCTTTATGCCAACTTCTCTTTCTCTGTATTGCCCTGGCCTTGAAATGTCCACCACAAATAGCATCGATGCTTCAAATGTCCTTAACTGAGACTAAGGTTGAGGCATTAACTCATGATCTATGTCTACAGCTCCAGCTGAATCCACATTTCTAAAGAGGTGATCCTGCTTGTCCTCCAAATCTGGCGGGGATGATCCCTGGACTTTTCAAGTTTACCCCCCAGGAGGCCAACACCGCGTACAATTCTGGCAAGAGTTTGGAATCAAGATCCTCTTCCACGCTCTGCCCACACCGGTACCCACGAGCATTAAGTCCCCCCTTTCTATTACAGCCCACCGCCACCACCACACACACATACCCCACCAAGGCAAGTAACAAAGGAAACCACAGCCCCAGAAAGGCTCAGCTCTTGCATCTCTCAGTGCACACCTGCCAAGAGACAAGACCCATACGGGAATCCTGCCCTGGCAATATGTCCAACACTCCATCGTGGCACCCCTCGGGCGTGCGCGGCTATATACACAAAGAACTGGTAATCCGCTGGCGAGCATTCCTGGGTACCAGCAGGCTCCGGGCTGCTCCTGGGCTGCTGCTCCTGGCTTCTTCCCCACGCCCTCTCTCCACGCCCTCTCCCCAGCAGAAAGGAACTATCCTTTATTTGACCCACAGGGAGATCAGGCTAGAGAGCAGCGCAAGGGGTGGGGGTGGGGGGCGGTCCCTGGATCCCTTTCCTCCAGGCTAGCGGTGCCCTGCCTTTGGCATCTCCAAAGAGATGCACAATCGAGCGCTGTCACACCTACGTCCGCTTCGCATCCTCTGGTGCAAAACCCAGATGTCCCAGGTCCTGGCCGCGCGCATCTCCCTTCCCCCCCATGACCCTCCGGTGCCCATGTGCCCCCAGGCAGCGTCGCTGGGCGCGCCTGCCTACCTGCTGGCCGGCTGTCAGCGAAGCACCGGGGCTCGTCATCCCTTTCTTCTTGACGGCTACATCGCTCCAAGCGCCATGTTCCCGGGCTCCCCGTGCGCAGGCTGGGAACTACTCTGGGCAGGGCAGGGGCCAAGAGGCGGGGGCCTGAGCGAGAAGGTGGGAGGGAGAGTCCAAGCGGGCTCCTCGCCACCCACACCAGTCCCAGCCACTGAGCATGCCCAGCTGCCCGGCTTCGTCCCCGGGAGCACTTCGCCCAGCGCGCGCCGCCGCGGCTCCGGGTTTTCCCCGCAGCCGGCGAAGGTGGCGGGGCCGAGGCGGGGAGGGGGAAGGGGAG